TTATTTTGCTGAGTTGGTTCTATCGGATCCTAAAGCCAGCTGACAAAGCTTATCTCTGAGTGAGTTTGTAAGTTTAAATGTCACCCTAATCTCAGCCTTATTGAGAATCCTACATAAAGTTTCTCATGTATCTGCCTTCCTGATAGGGTAACACAATGGAGACTGTGAACTCCTTTCTACTCGTGTTGTCGTTACTATTCATACTCATGTTACTGTTATTATTTCGGTTTTCGTGTGTATGTACAAATTTCTTAATAAATGGTGGAGGATAATTATTAAGTATTATTGCTTGTTTTATATTTTTCATTTGCTTGATTAGGTTCTTGCACTGACTAGTCAGTTTTCTAGCTCTATCATTTAGACATTTGACTGAGACTGCCTTGACTGACACTGATTGGATGAGATGACTTGAAGTCTGGATACCTGTTAGAATGTGTTGGTTTTCTGTAGACGGCAGTATTCAAACCACCATGTGTCCTACATTTTATCCTGCAATCCAACATAGGCATTTCTCCTTGTTCATTTTCTACCTCCTCCTGAGTGAACTGGATTTCACCTACTACTGAGTTTATATTAGTGATGAAATTATCAATATGTTCCGATTTCAACAGAGTAAATGTGTAATCGCCACATCGCCACCATTTACACACAACCACACAATAGGGTGGGATAAAGCCACTGTACTGAAGTCCAATATAATTAGATGGAGAGAGAGATTGATTACTGAATCTTTGTTCATTGAATCAACATACAACACATGTGGAATAGGAATGACGCAACATCTATACCAGAGATACGGAAAACTTTACTGCCAATAAAAACAAATAATGCGAGGTGACAGGACAATAAAAATCAGATATCGAGAGCAATGTGGCTACATTAATATGATTATGAGCAATGAGTAATTTATGCTCGAAATGTCATCAAGTAAATGACACTAGATCACTGTGTGTTGTAAATCAAATAAACAAATCTCGCATGGCATTAGATTCTACCACAGTGCCCAAGTTTTACACTTATATAAATGTCTTTATCATACTTCATTATAAGGCATAAGTTAAGCATAAATGTGAACCTTCACAATCTGAATCTCAATTAATTAATGTCGAAATTTGTAACAAAACAGAAATATCCCATTGATGCATATTCACATGGGACGGCATCATGGTAAGCCACAGTTTGATTGTCTTGCCTCAGTGTAAACGTACAGTATATAGGGGGATTTATTTCAGTCTACAAATCGGCAGAATGCCCTTATTAACCCTGGTTTGACACTTCCTAGTTCTCATCAGCAAACAACATATACAATCTTGCGAGAAATGTAGTCGATGATTCAAAGTAAACATCAGTTACTACTGAAGTCAGAAACTTTACCAACAAGGTATCTGTTTCATGAGTAAACCGTCGGAGTATCAGGTTATGCACATAAATTATACGCTGGTGGATAAGTGAAGTAATTTTCAAGTTGGAAGTGTATATCGTTGTTTTTGTTTCTGTTTTGAATATACTTTTGTTTTAAAAGATTGATGGGTGTCTGACTGGCGATATGTATATTTTGAATATCACTCACCGAACATGAAGGGAGGTTAAAAACCTGGAAGCAGTGGAGAGCTGTTTTGTCATAGCGTGCAACTTCTTAGCAGTGGGCACCTGCGACCCTACCAGGTGTCGAACCTAGGACCTATAGGTTCCGTGGCCAACACTCTGCCATTGAGCCATCGGGTCGAAATCCAACCGGTGGAGCATCAAGGTCCTGTGCTCAATCGATGGCTAGGTCTGTTGGGTAGTCTTGAGCCTGGACGAAATAGCTGTATAGTGTCCCTAAGTTTCCAGTGTTTCTTCAACTGATGAATACCAACCTGAAATTAATAATTAAATCTCCATGATCCTTCTAACTGAATATGAAAAACGTGATAGTCTGTATTCACCATTTTTTTCTACAGTTTTGGTTTCTATGCATTAATTTCTTCTTTCTTTGAGTAAATAGCTGACTTTGGAATTCCAGACTGTTCTGGAAAATTCATCTTACTGGTAATAATAGATATGAAGGAATACTGATTCACTCTTCAATACTGCATAACCATTTCGAGTATTTTGAAGCACTCCAACTGGTTATTAAATGGTAACACTTATTAGCAAAGAAGTATATAAACCAATCGGGTTCTACAATCCCCCATTTACACGATATTCCCAAAATTCAGAAAGACGGTATCCCGCTCTATTTAATACTAGATATGATTAACTTTCTGTATCAATAAATCGTGAAACCTGGGAAGAAGAAGCTATTGAACCGCAATCTTCGTGATACACTTGATTTTATTGATGCAATTAAGGATATCAGTTTGAGAGGTATAAGAATGATTTCATGAATGTCGTTTGCTCTTTCTCAAGTGTCGCACCGATCTACTTTTTATGTGACTTCATTCAGTGTCATAACACAAGTGTTAGTATTCCAATTCACTATTTAAAACAACTTTTTCAATATACCTTCAATGTATACTTAAGATTTAATAACGAAATCTACAAGCAGATAGACAATATGAGAATGGATTTCCACTAGGACCTCACCTAGCTGACTAATTTGTGACAAGCCTGGAAAACGCTAAATTATCAGCAAAAATCAATGAACTTCATGTCTACAACAGATAAACTAATGACACTTTCAAAGTTTGTGATGAAAATATGAGTTTAACAAATCTGTTTCATGCATTCAAAAATTCCCACACCTCAGTCAAATTCACTCTAGAATTAAAAACAAACTCAACATTCCATTTCTTTGATGTTCAACTACAAAGAAAGGATGATAATACACTTCATGAATTGATTTACAGTAGGCCTAATTGGAATGTATAATTTATTACTTTTCAAAGTTTGGTTTGTCTAAGTAAAAAGAGAAATCTCATCTATTCACTTTCCTCGAGGATCAAGAAAATATATATTTAGTGCACTGTTAAGAAAAAAGCGCAAAATCTTCGAAGGACTCGACTAGTTTCTTAGAAAAGAACTGAAGTCAAAGAACACAACTGATCAAACACACCTAGCACCGAAAAAGATTTTTTGCTGAATCTTAAGTTCAGAAGTGACATCGCTGCAGATATCCACAAAAAACGACTGTCAGGATCCTTAAATAGAACATACTTCGCTGCCAATCTTCGAATCATTTTCTCCTGTAAGAAACTTTTTGGCCAATGTGTGAAAAATATCCTGACGCATTGGGTCATATTAAGATATTTTTACCAGTTTACTTGCTTCTACAGAGGTGGGTACACTACCAGTAGGGCTAGCAAAGGGCGGAACGGAAAGCTATCTTCAGCTCAATAATAGAACACCTGTAAGCTGAGGCCCCTAGCTCCTTTTGAGAACTCAGTTGAATTCTCCAACAGCATTTACAAGTGCCACAAATCTGAATGACAAATATTAATTTCCCACATTTCAGGTAGCTGTATTGCTTAACTCATCCAAGTGTGGACAAACGTGAAGCATTCATAATTATGCCCGTATGTTTGCCATATATATTGGTCTGAAGAACTCTGATGACTGGTAAGAACGTTCAGCAAGTATTCATGTTAACTAGTATAGATTGTGCAGTACGGGATTCGAACCGTACTGCACTCTGTCGAACACACAGACACACATTGATTTGACAGATTTCACCTTTTCTGATCCAATATCCAATACCTTTTAACGAGCTAGTGTAAACCAACTGATTTCTTCGCGCTCGCTTCTAGGTCTTGCGGACGGTTCCAGGTCTTTGGTGGATTCCAGTGCAGTAGGTCTACCCACTCGGCTGCTGTAGCTCTGGTTAGCCCAACGGACGGTTGGTGTTGGTTAGATTTGTAGGGAGTGTTGTTTGTTTGTTGCTTTTTCTTCCGAGGACTGTGAAGCAGATGGGTTCCCCAAATGTCGTGCCAGCAGACAATTAGTCGGACTGGTTGTAAAAAGGAGATGGAAAATATGTGCAGAGAAATTGAGGGAGAGAAAAAGCAGAGAGAGAAAATAGAAAAAGAAAGAAAAGAAGGGAGAAAAATAACAAAAAAAGATTAGGAAAAGGGGAACGACACGAAGAAGAAACATTGGTAGGTTCATGGGGAATAGGTGATAGGAAGAGCTTTTGTTAAAGTTTGAGAGAGTAAAGTCAAAAGGAAGAATAATAAATAACATGATAGGACGTATGGGAATATAGTAATTCTTTTAGTAGGAGACGGTAACTGGAGGGGACGTCTACAGGAAGGTATAAGGTTCAGCCAAGTTCTCAGTCATAGTGGTTTTACTAAGTGTTCAGTAACGGTTGGTCGCACAGACTTAGTCAGTCTAGTCCACATCCCAGTTGGATGATAAATATAGTTCAATTTCTACGATCGGATTACATTTAGTCGTAGGATTCCTGTCTTAAAATTCTTAGGGTAGTACACTATGTTCACAGTTCAATTTCAAGTAATTGCCATGCTTGTTCGCTTATGTATGTGTGTGTGTGCGTGTATGTGTAGGGGATATATATAGACATAAAGACAAATAAACGGAGAAAAACAGCGTGGGTAAGAAACAAAATGATTTAACACATTGAATACCTACAGCCAAACTTTGATACTAACCATTATAACATTGTAACAGTTTGCATAAATTATACAATCAATAAACCGATATCGATAAATTTCGAGAGAGAAAGAGACAGTGATAGGGGAGGTGAGGGAGAGATAAGCAGACAGAAATAGAGATATGAAATAATTACTTATCTCCAAGAGAATAAAATACTGTGGAAACTAGTTTTCCAAAACTATTGATCGTCTGACGGCGTAATCAAATGAAATAGATTAGAACAAAGTTGAAATCTTGGATCGATATTTCAAATTCTTTTTTTAATCTAACTCTGTCTCTATTACAGGCTGTTTTTCATGTAAAACGAAAATCACAGATAATTTTGAAACAAAAAACATTAAAACATCATTTTAATAGAGCTCATTAAGAAGATTCTTTATAATAATTACATTTGATGAACTTACTAGTTGGTCCTGTTAGAGACTTTTGTGGAGCTTCATAGCGCAATGAAACTTCTATCGTTGACTGTTGAATATGAAATTAAAATAATAAAAAAAAAGGAATAGGTTATGAATAAGACAACTAAATAGAATGAAATTCAAAAATTCGATGAACACACATCTGTTGTACTTATCTTTCTAAAAGGGATATTCAGTTTATGTGAAGGTATTTTAGTTAAAGTTAAGCAACAAGATTACCTTGAAAATTATCAGACTGCCGCGTTACTTAAATCGAACCAATGTCTTTATATATTCAGATAAAAATTTCAATTAAATGATAGTAATAATTTATTATTTGCCCTTTGGGTTCCTAGTGGAACATAAGGCTTCAGTAGCTTGTCTCCATTTCATTCTCTTCGCTGCAGTCTTTTCAGCCTGCCCCCCACTGCCCAGAAGATTTCATTTCTTCCTCACACTATCTCCTCTATGTCAACCTCAGCTCAGACACCCAACTTGTTGTTTCCCCTTTAGCTTCCACTCAAGGGCCTGGTGCATGATGTCTCCGAATGGTTTTCTCAGTTTATGCCCAATCAATTCCATCTCCACTTTCTTGTGCATATCTGTTGGGCGATAGGTTCTTGCTCCGTTGGTTCGTTATCAGCCAGACCAGAGTTCCTTGTTTCTTGTTGCTTATTCTTAATATTCTGGCCATCTGATCTTCAGTGTCAGTATCGAGTGAGCGTAGGTGGCAGTACTCATGTGATGCATGTCTATAGTTTGTTGGGAATGCTTTTCGTGACACGCCAAGACTCTCAACTATCACATAGAAACACTGCCTTACTAACTGACATTAGTGTTGGAAATCCGGATTTTGTTCATGCTTTATGCTGAATGGAGTGGAGTTCAGTAGATTTCCATACTGATTTCAGGTTAATGAAGGTCTGTCTTGCTCTCTTCCTGCTCCTGTCTTTGATGTCCTCATCTGCGTCAGTGCCACCTGTAGTTAAAATGATGCTGCCGTGTTTAGGTAGGTATGGGTGAAAGAAACAGCTTCGTTTAGATTTCTCTAGTTGGTGGTGATTCCTGCTTGCTGTTGTTGTTGGTGATGCTGGTGGTTGGGTATCCTCTCTACGTTCACCTGAAGGAAGTCCCGTCTTCGCTGCCCTGCCTTTTCTGCCAACTTGGTGTTCGCCTGTAGATTTTCGAGTTTGTGCTACATTAGACACTAGGTTAATTAAATAATCCCTATTGCTTATCTCTAAGTCATAGCTGGAAACTACTCAGCGATGTTTATTCCTAACACTTCCAAGATGGATGGGACTAATACAGATCTTAAAATGAGTATGCCAACCAAGGAAACCGTTGGTTAGACGTTCGCTAAGAGAAAGAAACATCACCAGTCATATTTCGAAAGATAGACTGAATCTTTGGCGTGCATACTAAGAAATCATAAAGTTAAACAGCTGTCACTCTCTTTATGGATTCTCGTAAGGAGTTATCACAAATAAAGATAAACAATAGAAGTTTTGATCGCAATTTTGTGAAAACATTACGTGCATGTCACCCATTTCAGAGGTTAATATAGTTCCATCAAACCACATGGTAGGCTGTTCTACCCTGTATAGCAACAGGAAATTGCAACTATCTTACAACTAGTGATGTTCATTGGACAAGATATCACTCTCGTGTATGACGCTTTGGTCCTTGAAGTTTTAGGTACTGTATTTGAGTGTTGGTGGGGAAAATATCACTAATCAGGATGCAGGTGTATCCAGCTGACGAGTTCCAAATACGATGAAACGTGCTGACTGGATTTCACTACTTGTCACTGAGATGAATATAACACATAGGGGATAGTTTACTTTCGAACTACAGAATCCGTTTTAATGGATTCCATCATTTTTTCACCTTCAGTTTATGCGTAAGTTACAACTTGTTTGTCAATTAAACCATGATGAAAAAGTGAAGACTTTCTTTTAATAGAACAATGAAAGGTGCAATCTAGAAAATACTTTCAGCTTGTTTTCTCTGATGAGTAGAGAACAACCACGATGTTTCTCCTTTACACACACTAATCACATATAGAACAGTTACTGAATAAAGACTATTTTTGGCTTTCAAGACAAAAAAAAGGAAGACAATATTGATCTTGATGACTAGCAGAGGAATGGAGGATGAGAGTTTCATCTTACTTGGAACTCGTCAGCTGGATATACTTGCACTGCAGTAAGTGAAGTTGTCCCCAGTACACGAAAGAAAACAAACTCCCAAGAAGGTTGTACATATCTCAATCGATATGATCGATGTAAACAATCATTTGTGAAACCTCACATATCTACTACTTTGTGTTATGAATAAATTTATTAAGTGTCTTGGTCACTTTTATACCATAAGCGTATTTAATATTGAAATGAAAGAGATTTATATGCTTCTGAAGAAAATTTCCCTCTCAGTTCAGTTCAGCTTAGTTTGGCTTTGCGTATACAAGAGAGAAAATTAAAAAAAATCAATCAACAATTGGAAAATAAAGAAAATTTGGCATTAGTAATATTGTTTGTAATAGTAGATGGATATAATATTAAATTTTTTCAGTCACTTGATAACTTTCGTTAGTCTAAGGATTGATTTTTTATTGTATGTGAACTATCATCGACTGAGTTGGCTTTGACATGAATCATGCATGTGGGGCTACCACTGTCTATCTCATTGTATAATGCTTGGAGAAGTTGGATAAGGTTAGACGAGGGCTCAGGCTGGCAAACCAAGATGTGGCATCAGTCGATGAAACTTGTGACTGTTGATCTGAGTTATGTAGGTAGGTGGGCGTAGACTTTGAGACGATAGGAATGAATCAGTCGTTTAGGACTTCCGGTGACATTGCTGGAAATCAGTCAACGTCTACTAAACCACAGTAATGTCGGAGAGCGATAAGGACTAGGCAGCTGAAGCATTGAATCATTAGTAGAAGATATGAGAAGGCTTCAAGTGTTTGACTACCGTTACCTTCGTAGTATAGACTGTGTTTCATGGTATCGCCATCTGAGTAACGCAGAAGTCTGACGTAGAGTTTTAGACAGAAGAGTTAAGATAGTTGATGCGGTTATGAACTTTCAGTAATTAAAATGGCTGGGATGTGTTGCGTGTGTCTAACCTCCATCTGCCTCGTCACACAGTGTTGACCGAAGTAGGTTCAAGTTGGTAAAGGGCTCAGAGCGGCCAGACTAAAACATGCCAATAATGTGTGAAGTCTTTGGCTTTTGGTTTGAGCCATGTAGGGCGATGCAGACTGGATAGTTGGGATCCGTGGGACAAGAGGAGCCAGTGGTTGGAGACTCTAGGTGATATGGCCCAGAAACGATGTTAGTGATGCAGATGCATACACATATTATCCTCATCTTAACCACTATACTTGTCATATATCTTGTCATTCTTCCATCCTCTATTTTACCACTTTCTTTTTACCGATTTTTCTTTAGTTTTTCATTGCCTTGATATGGTGATATGAGGTATGGAAACGTGGACCATCAAGCAGTAATGCCTGGTCCTGTGCTGATCCTGATGATGGCTGGCAACCAATTCTTATGCTTTATCCGGTGCCACAGAGTGTTAATCGTAGTCCAAATTGCTGAGTCAAAAAGCTTCTCAATTCAATACTGATGTATGATGGTTTAAATTCATATTTTCCTCAAGGTTGAACAAATGCCTTACTGGTGAATGTCAGATTCTTCGGGACGTGGTCAGCTATCTTCAGGCATGCCCTTAGTGTACTTGTTACCGTAATCACGTGTTAATGCATAAATGCAGTTATAGTTGCATAAGCTGGATAATTATCCAATTTTGACTGGTTTAGCAATCATATCGTATTGTATACTGATACAAGTTTAGCTGCAGGAAACCTCCTTCTTAGAGATCCTTTGATTATTTTATCTATGTCTGAGGTAGCATTCATTATAGGCTGACATTAGTTGGAGAACTGTTGGAAACCTGGGGTACATTGGGCATCTATTTCGTCTCGGATGGGACTATTCAGAAGTACGCACCCCCAGCAGTCAGGTTATGTGGCGAACACGTTGCCATTGAGTGAATAGGTCAGTATCCGTTGACTTGGGAAGACGTAAAGATTTTCCCGTTAATGGTATCTAGAATGACCATGAAAGCTTCGCTATATAACCAACCAACTGAGAGAACATAACACCAACTTAACAATGCTTCTCTGCAACAAATATAATCTATCATTCCAAGATCTTAGCCACTCTTTTTTGACTAGTTTTAAGCACTGTGGTTCACGTGAGCGTGACAAGTGAAATGTAAGCATAAAGTGACACTGTTTGTTGTGTGTAAGCAATTTCAATGCTGTTTTGGCTGTGTGTCAATACGGATTATATTTAATCAAGTTCACAACTGTGATAACTTCGACCACCATGTGTAAAAGTTTCTTCCTTACAGATTGATTAGTTGGCATAATCATCAGACATGAAATAGTTAATATTTGCGGTACAGTTATAGAATCTGACTGTCCTTGAACGACCAATAAATGACCTTGAAACGACCTATCAAGGTCTAAGAAGCTACGAATTATTGAAAACATGTCGGTGACTGCGGTTTATGGACAATTATGATGATGATAATTACGATTAAATCGAAGTGAATGATTTCTTATTTGTTCATCTTGCCCTATACACTAATTCTTTGGGGTTTTTCATTAACGTCTATAAGGGACAAAACTATCGATATGAAGTTTTCACTCGAGTTGCACTACTCCGTAGACCTTATCACTTGATTACAGTTTACGGTAGCCATGAAGTCATACAGTATGAAACAAACAGAAATTAGGACCTTTTCATCTTTGGCGCTGAAATCTGCAGATCCTTACCTAATATTCAGTGTCATGAACGTAATGTCCTCTTTACATTTTCAAATTCTAGTTCTTAAGTACTTCAATAGGAGTTCATGGATTCTTTTTGACGGTGATTTGTTCCCTCAGCTGAATAATATAATCTTGGAGCTTTCGTTGTCATTCTAGACATCATCGGAACAAACTTTAGAGAGAAGTGAGTTATAAGATTTCCTCTGCAAGTTAATTAG